GTAAAACTTTAATAATGTTTCAAAAATTATAAGTCATATAGTTGACTCTTTGAATGATAATAATAGAATAGATAATTATTTAATTGACTTGCATAAGAATTTCTTATGTTGAAATTTAATTTAAAGTTAATGCAGTTTTTCTATAAAAAAAACTTTAAAACTCGATTGGACGTGTCTTAGTTTTTGACTTAAAAGTAAGTGGGAAAAGTCGATAAGGTTTGGTAAGGGTTGTTGGGAACAATAACAGCATTACATATCTGTTATGCAATAAATATTTTCTGCCGAACATTTGTTCTGTAAGTAAATTCTCAAATATGCATGAGTAATCTTTTGGTGATGGTAATTTTCTTCATATTCTTGTTCAACAATCTTATCATTTTCTTATTACTAATATTATTTCGTACAATATTTCTGGAGAATGTTATTTGTACCTAGGTAGTTCCCAACTTTTATTTATTTCTTGTTTTCTCCTGTTTCTTCACAGTTTTCTGTTCTAATCTTTTATCTAATGCTAATTTGGTCTTCTTTCGCATTTCATGATCAGTAAATCTTTGCACTACTTTCAATAGACTTTTAGACTTAATACTGAAGTTAAGAGGGTTAGAGGTAGACCTAGATTAGATTACTGATCACAAATGAGGATATGGGATGTTCTGGTTATAGAGAAATGCGAAAATTAGCTCAGGCTAGGAAAAAATGGAGGTGCGTGTCCAATCAGTCTTAGGACTGACGATCATTATGATTATAATGAATACTGAATCGAGAAATCTTTTAATTCTTATTTGCCTCAATTTTAAATGTGAAATTTTCCACACAGTTGTGGTTACAGAATGTAATGTAGAACAAACAAAATAGCTCAAACCCCAACGCCAAAACACGTCACTTTAGTTGTCCGAAGTACTTTTCGGTAACAAGGTTACCTTTTTCAGGGACTGAAGTGAACTGTCAGAAAAGTGCTTCGGACAACTAAAGTGTCGTGTTTTGGTGTTGGGGTTTGAGCTAATTTGTTTGTTCTACAACAACCGCCAAAGTTTTTCCAGTCTTCATAAAATGTATTTGATCATTTGAACCTTATGTGGAGGAATATTACAGTATTCTTCTACCTGGAAAAACATTATAGGTACAGTAAGAAATATGTAGTGGTGGAAAGTGCCTCAGTAGTTGGATAACTTTTTTTTTTAATCCTTAAAAGGAATATCCGTTTTCAGGGTAATGTTTTGAAAGACGTTTTTTGTGAAATTTGTAAAAAAGTTCCCGGTGGAATTGTAGTATTTTTTCCATCGTATAAATATGAGTCTTGGGTTTGGGAGCAGGTTAAAACACTGTCTTTTGGTAGGCCGGTGTTTAGGGAACCCCAAGATTCTGGTTCTGTTGATTCAGTATTGGAATCTTATGCTTCGGCCATTAAAAAATCGGGAAGCAAAGGTGCTCTCTTGTTCAGTGTTGTGGGTAGGTTCAAAGAAAAATATTACAATTTAAAAAAGGACATTCCATTCTGTGTTTCGTCCGTAGGAGGGAAACTGAGCGAAGGGTTGAATTTTAGCGACGACTTGGGACGATGTGTAGTTGTAGTAGGCCTTCCGTATAGCAATATTAATTCCCCTGAGTTGAAGGAAAAAATGACTTATTTAGATAAAAATCATGTAAGTACCTCCTTGGTTTAGAATATTCTCAAAACAAAAAGAAATTTCTTAAAAGTAACAGGAACCAGAAGGATATTCTTTTTAGTGGCATAGCAAGGTCCAATAGCAGGAAATTTTTGAAATGTTCTCTAGTCTTTGCACCGTCGGAGGTCCGACCTTTTCGCGTTGTTATTTTTTGACGTGACAACGTCTTATAATTCGATGGAGTCGGCTGCACGCACGAAAAAACATGACTCATGCGGCGTTACCTCGCTCTGAGGCGTTCCATTTAAGGCTTGAAGTGCAAGCGAGAGCGCGGAACGAGCGACAAAGAGGCACAATCGGCCTCCGCGTTCGGCAGCGTTCGACATCTGTCTCTCTCCTACTTGAGTGAGCGATGCGTCCGCGTGGACAGCTGCTATACAATAATACATTTCCATTTACCTCCTTCTCTATATCCATACAAAATATCTATCAAACAAATAAAATTAAAATTTTCTTTTGTAAGATGAAAGCATTCTGTCAGTATTTTCTTATGACGTTGTCACGTTCGACTATTGTCAGTAAACCGACTTTACAGACAACCGATTTTTAAATTTCTTTTGGACTTGTGGTATCCCAGCTATGCCACTAGTTATTTCAGAATATTTTTTTCCATGACTGCAAATGTAACGGTGAAAACTGAAACTCATTGGTTTAAAGGGCTCTGGAAGCGGTAAAAGTTTTTATGAAGCCCTCTGTACTAAGGCTGTAAATCAGTGTATTGGTAGGGCTGTGAGACATAAAGATGATTATGCGACAATGATTTTATTGGATGTGAGATATGATAGGCCGTCGACAAAAGCGTCTCTACCAGACTGGATAAAAAGATCTTTGAAAACGTGTGATTTTTCTCAAGCATGTTCGTTGATAGAACAGGTAATAAAATTAATACTAACACTAATATATTAGTTGAAAAAGTCCGGTTTATATTGGTCGTGGTTCAGGATTGGTTTTTCTTTTTTCGATGAGTCCGTGGATGAAGTAATTTATCCTAGGTTTCGCCAGCTGCTGTGGTTGTCGAGGGCGTAAATCCTTCCATGTGGTTGTACTCAGTCTCTTCACGTTTTCTGATGAGGCCAACCACAGCATTTGGCGAAACGTCGGATAAATGATTCCATCCACAGACTCACGGAAGGATGAGGAGAAGCAAACCTGGATCATGCTAATCTATCCCGAATATCGAACCCTTTTCAAATAACGCTGGCCATGAAAAAAAAAGCATTTTCATCAATATTTTGGGGGTCTGCAAAATGTTCTGCATCCATAAAGGTGTTTGTGAAAATCCCAGATACCCTGTGTTCATTTCTATGAAATTGTACTTTCACTTTTTGACGTTTTTTCCAGTATAATTTAATGTTTTTTTTCATTCTTTTTTTTTTAGTTTTTTGAAAGGAAAAAGAAGAAATGATATTTAAATTAAATAAAATACACANCTATAATATAAAAAGAAAATAAAAATAAATTCCATCACTTTTTATATTCTCATTCGGGGAAATTCATAATCCATCTGTAGTCATCTAAATACAAAAACAAAATATATTTACGATATGGCGAGATGAAAATTTTACAACATGTACGAAAAGAAGTTCTGGCAGCGTGCTGTGCATGGAAGATAACAAAAAATTAAAGTCTGATTTTTATAGAATACTATCAGTTTGCGATTTATAATACACTTTTGGTATTTTATGAGACAGTATATTTTATGTGCTTCGAAGTAGGGTTTTTAGATTTTCATTTACGTCACTTTTTCTTGAACACAAAACGACTGCCGAGATATTTCGACTGGCCGTAGTCCAAAAATCGAGAAATCATTTTTAACGAAAAGACCAGAGTATAAGAATAGCTTTAAATCCTCCCATAAATCATGGCGATTTTATACGAAAGATTACTAGGGAATGGGAAGGAACAGAGGAATACTCCTTTTTAAAACGAAATGTTCTCTTCAAGCGTAAGTAAGACAAGAACGAGCATATTTTCTCTAATATTTTTGATATTGAACAAAAAAAATTCAAAAATGTGTACGTGCATTTATTATTTTGAAATTTTTGAGATAATCAAAACTGTGACATAATGACATGACAGATGGACAATATATAACGATTACCTTATACGTTTTTTTTTTTATTTTTGGTTTGAGGGCCTAAAATTTTGCAAGCTTTCATAAATAATTATGAGGATGTAAATTTGGCAGCAGTAGCAGGAAGCGGCTTTAACAAACGACATTACAAAACAAATACGCCTTCGCTTTCAACTTCATAACAGTTAAAATTATACATATTCACATAAATAATTAAATCTGATGCAGATATAACAATACAGAGTTAATCTGTAATTTTATAGATATTTAATAAAATTACAGATTAACTCTGTAAAAGCAAAAAGTAAA